ATGACGCCTTTGTAGTATCATTAATATGTTATGACGTGATGAATGTAGCCCTGTGAAAGTTTAGGAAGATATAGACAAGGTTATCGAAGACAGCGAACCAAAAATATTTTATCAATCTGGTACGATGCCGTAAACCTGGATGATGAGTGATGCCATCAGAGATTGAAGAGTATGTCGTTGAGAGGATATTGGTGATGGTGGGATCGTCGAGGGTAAACCATGTCGATATCTTATTACCTTGTGCGGACGTCATCATGAAGATAACTACTGATTTCAACAATACACTATTCCAGACCAAGTAACCATAGGAAAACATTTCAAAAGTGGAATAATTGCAGCACAAAAGAAATTATAAGTGTGAAACTACACTAAGTAGTATCTCTCCTGTATCACCACTGCTGTGTCGATATTCTCTCAAGGCTTGGTTGTATCTAATCATTGAGTATTTGGTGACAAGGTATGTGGCTGATTATGGCTTATCTGAAAACTTGGGCGGCTGGAGTTAGATGTTAAGTGGTCCTTTACAGAGTTAATAACTTCATTTCACGGCCCTACGCGTCTATGAGTGATGTTGACGTTATCAGTAGTTTACATGTCTGGATTTATGATATGAGTTAGCTGAAGCGGTGATGTATTTTGATAACATACTTTTCACGAGCATCAGTCTTACATTATGTTTTTCAATATAAATTGTTTATAAGTATAGTTTGATGTACTCGGGGAGCCGCACATGCGGGTCTTCTCACTGTACCACCACCTCACACTCCAATAACGAATTTGATACCTCGTGTGTATTTATGCATCATAATAAATCCTGGAACCGCGACGTCATATTAGTATTACCACATGGAAATGTGCTTTGTGGTAGGATCGTCATACATCATGCCATGTATGTTAGTTAGGTGTCATTGGATGTCCGCCTTTCCTGTCCTCATATGATAATGCCAAGCATGTATTTCTTCTCGGCCCGCGGGGTAATTCGTACATCTCATGAGGCACAGCCGTTTATCCACGCCTTCTTCACATCAGTTACACTGGTTTGGTTTCCTCCTGGCCTGTGCACTTTGTCTGTGCTGCCACGTGATGAATGTGAGTCTTTTTTTTATAATTTCACGTTAAAATTTTCTTGTAATGGATTATAAAAGCTAATCAAGAGATTCTGTAAATGGATATTATAAGTATAAAATGCAGAAAAGAAGAGATTGGTGGCACCCTGGAAGCAGAGTAGCCTGCACTCAAAGTTACGAGGTGTATGTGTACAATATCTGCCAGTCCACCTAACACTACAAAAGAAATGATGACGGGATTGGCTTGTTTATGAGAGGGTACTTGGGTCACTATTGAGTTGACAGGTAATAACAGCCGCTGCTCACCTGTATGCAAGGGAAGAGCATCGACGAGTGGTTCACAAGTCTTGTATTTCATTAGAGAGTTAAAGTGGGAGCTTTTGTAGTTGTTCACATGAAAATGTTGGTTGAAGGTGGGATCCTACTTCTTCAAATTCAATGATTTATTAGTTTTATGAAGAGCGTTTGAGAGTCCTTGTTCCTGAGATCTTCAGTAATACACGTCTGGAGGAGACTTCTTGTACTGTATTAACGAACACAAGACTGCTGGATCAATCAGATGTAAAATTCACATTTCTTGAGTTTATTGAAGGCATGTGATAGTTATTAAACTATAACCTTCTTGTTTATGATTATAGGTATGATTCTTCTTCGATTGCTAATTGATCCAAAATTTGTCGAGAGGAAATTTTCAGATAAGAAAAAAAATTCTACCACCTGTAACTCCTTATGTCGCAACTCGTTAAGTGGTGCACCAGGCTGGAGTATGGACAACTAGTCGATGAACCAAACTTATGGTCCTAACACCACCAGGTTGAGGAAGGGCAATGCATGACACTGGGCGTGGGAGCCCGTCTAGATGACCCTGCTTGGGGCACTTACAGCCTAAGTAAACTCCCCAAGTGCGTATGGAAGTCAACGCGTGGTTTGCACAACTGCGGATAATCCTAAGTGTACCTCCCATGTAGTGGTCTTTGTATCTGAAGCATAAACATTGAACATTAACGATGTACATGGTATGCAAATTCACTTAAGTGTTATGACTAATCGCAGTGTGTGTGTGTGTGTGTGTGTGTGTATGTGTGTGCCCATCCCTTGTTATTTACTTAACTGATCATCCTTTAAGGTTTACATGGTGATATCAATCTACCCTTCAATTGGTAGTGAGGTGGGCAGCCTCTGTTAGTGGGTATAGTGGTGCAGCCTGTTAGTGGGTATGGTGGTGCAGCCTCTGTTAGTGGGTATAGTGGTGCAGCCTCTATTAGTGGGTATAGTGGCGCAGCCTCTGTTAGTGGGTATAGTGGTGCAGCCTCTGTTAGTGGGCATAGTGATGCAGCCTCTGTTAGTGGGTATAATGGTGCGGCCTCTGTTAGTGGATATAGTGGTGCAGCCTCTGTTAGTGGGAACAGTGGTGCAGCCTCTGTTAGTGGGTATAGTGGTGCAACCTCTGTTAGTGGGTATAGTGGTGCAACCTCTGTTAGTGGGTATAGTGATGCAGCCTCTGTTAGTGGGTATAGTGGTGCAGCCTCTGTTAGTGGGTATAGTTGCAGCCTCTGCCCATAGTGGTGCCTCTGTTAGTGAGTGGTAGTGGTGCAGCCTCTGTTGAGTGGATATAGTGGTGCAGCCTCTGTTAGTGGGTATAGTGATGCAGCCTCTGCTTGTGGGTATAGTGGTGAAGCTTCTGTTAGTGCGTATAGTGGTGCAGCCTCTGTTAGTGGGTATAGTGATGCAGTCTCTGTTAGTGGGTATAGTGGTGAAGCCTCTGTTAGTGGGTATAGTGGTGTGGCATCAGTAGGTATAGTGGTGTGGCATCAGTAGGTATAGTGGTGCGGTATCTGTTAGTGGGTATAGTGGTGCGGCCTCTGTTAGTGGGTATAGTGTTGCGGTATCTGTTAGTGTTTATCGTGGTGTCAACTTTACCTCATCTTATCTAGTAACTTCTTTCCCGTTGTTGCAGGAGAGAGGTAACGTCCAGGAGGGGTCGTCGTCTTCATTCTTTTATCGATACAAAATTGCAAATACCGATGTGTTCAGCATTACTTTGTCTCCTGCAGCTTGTGTTAAATACCCGCAAATCAATACACAGTAAAATTAATTATTTTGTCGATGACTCGCTCAAAGTGAAAGTGTAGAAGGAGACTCAAGGTTGCTTACTCCCCCATTTTTTTTTTTTTTTACAAACAAGACTTAACATATATAATGAATTAAGTATCCGGACTCCGTACTCGACCTACAATGACTAGGAGTTTAGCGGCTGGGTAAATTATGAAGTCTCTCAACATTTAAGGTGAATGGTCGATCCCAGCAGGACGAAATGTAGTTAAAATATCCACAAGTCGTTCAGGACGACCGTTTCGTCTTGATCTGGAATATGTTATCATGGCCTTGGGCGTCTGAGTGTTTCACGGGGAAAACTTTCTTGGTGGGGTTTGTGCGTATCATTATGCAGAGGCAAACACAGGTCGGGGTAGATTATAATTTATTAACAATTTGATGTATCTCGGCAAAGCGACGCTGGTGCACAAATTTGATCGAAGAAATATTTCACCGAAGGAGCTACTCGCCGTGACATATACAGGGTTACTTCACTATATGCTATCATAACCTAGTGCTCTGCCGATTGAATATGTGGCCTCTTAACCTTGATTTTTCGAACAGTTTCTTTGAGAGTTTTGAAGAATACGTCCAGTTCAGGTGATATACAATCCTCCGTAAATTGATCCAGTCCACTGCACTGAATGTTTGACTACCGCCGTGACCTCTGTGAGCATTCATTACCTTTCACTTCTCTATCCTCCCATGGTGACCAGTGTGTGCGGCCGACAATTCAGCATATCAGATGGTAATGAGAATATGAAAGAAGTATTTGGGACAGTTATACCTATGACCTGTTGTTTTGTTTGTACAAGGTAATATGAACTTACAGTGGTACAGTACCTACAAGCTGTAACAACCGCCATTTTGTAAACTTGCTCGTATAATTTGTTTAAGTAATGCATGTAAATACTTGAGAAAACGTCACCTCTGTCCACCGAGGTGAGCATCATCGCTGTGCACATCTCCAATTAGGGTTAAAAAACAAGCTAACATCGAGAAAATTGCCACCAAACTTTAAGATTGTTCTTGGTAACAAAAGCTGGGTACAGGCAGACAACACAAAGACACTCAGGTTTCTTTTAATCAACGTTACTGTACCTGTATATCTGACACAGGTTACAAACGTACCTGTATTGTCAGCGTTTACCCACACAGCGCCCAGATGATGTGCCCTTGTTTGTTGTTGGAGCTTATCACCAGAAACAGTGTAAGTAATTAAGTTAACTTCCAACACCTTAACACTGTATTTTCAACATTACTACAAAAGTATCAGTGTGAGGCAGGAAGCTACAGTTATGCATTAATGTACAGTATATTAGGCTATTGTGTTATAGTCTTTAATCATACAATATGTGAACTATTTTACCTACACTTTGCTGAACCATTATGTATTCATAAGATTTGTTAACCAGATTTTGTCAGTGCAGACTACATACAACACAGCGGATGTTCCAAGAGGACAGTGCTAGTTATATATGGAAGAGTTGACGAAGAAGGGGAAGGTCATTAATGGCCGCGTGACAGAAAGCTGTAGTGGTGGTGGGCAGGGGATTAAGTCTTCCTCATGTCACGTTGCTACTCAGACCACAAGGTTACCCAATTCAAGCCGAGTGAATCAATTTTGTATTGAACACATAATGAACACTGATTAAAATATTTTTTTAAAGAAAATGGTATATAGTGAAAGTAGTCGTAACTGTCACTTGAACAGTGTTTATTTACGCACTAATATTGATTTAGTAGCTGCGCTCGCGTATACTCAGCTGGGATACACAAAGAGGGAAGGGAATGATTCGTCCTCCGAAGGAGGGTAAGGAAAGCAATGTTTGCGAAGCAGAGTGAGAGGCCGGTATATAAGACGGCAGAGGCGGTGGCCAGACATCACACTCCACCATGAAGCTCCTGGTGAGTGACGCCTTCTGTAGGCTGTGGTTTGGTTTCCTTTACATGTGTGGATCACACCATAATGGTGTTGTACTAACTCCGGTCGGCAGTAATATCGCTTGAGTAGTAATAATTCTTTTCTCTGAGACAGAACAAGGTTTGAGCTTTGGCATTACACCAGACTCTAACACAGGATACATGTAGTCAGTAGACGTTCGTGGATTTTCCGTTTCCCTGTGTTGATTAACTGACATATACGAGCAAAGATGTGGTCTCCCAGTAATTAAAAAAAATCGGTTAGCTTTACAAGGAAGACATATATCGAAGTATATGTGTCGTGCTGAGCTACGGGTCTGTTCAGTCCTTGAACTCGGTGACTTATAGGTGAAGTCATGCGTGGACGTGCGAGTATTAAGATAATAACTCAGTACCTTATTATAGAATCCCTTTTTTTTTCGTGTCTTGGATGGAATGTAGAATGTAGTACAACTAATTTACCGTCCTTTGTGTAGCGTGAGGAGGGCCCTTAGTGTGAGCAACTCCTAAGTCGCCTTAGCAAAGTTAACATCATCAGTTCTACCCGACGCTTTTCACAAACTGTAATAAAGGACTATGTATTGTTGAAGTAAATTATGAAGTAACTGTATTTTGGTGACAACTGACAAGGTATATAGAAGAGTCAAGTCCACGTATGATACATATATTTACCACCTTATTCCATTAATTTACTTTTGCGTATTAATATTTTTCAGTAAAATAAGAGTACGAATAGATACGTAGACCTGAATATCTGTTCTTGAGGATTCATTAAAATTAGGTGTTCAGTTTACCAGGAGGATCTGATTATATTTACTGCGTTTGACTTCCGTTATCGTGTCGTTGATTCTATTATATATTACTCCTTTTGTAGTAAACTTATCTGCCAATCATCCTTTGTTATGTTTTCTTGTTCTGAGGAGAAGTCTGTATGATTTACATGTGATAAGGGATCTCTTAATTACATAGCTATCAAAGTAGATGAATACGTGTGAACCTTACAACACGAGTAAAGAAGTTGTTAGTCACTATGTGGTTCAGACCGCACCAGTAAGACAACACACGTAGCACCAAATTTCTTCACTAACTCACCGATCTTTCAGTAACACCATCAACTCTCAGTTATACCTCTGTAGGCTCTCATAATGTGGTATTTAATCACATTGCACATCCCATAACTTACTGTCTTCTCTGTGATACTGTATCAATTTTTAACAGCTTCCATATTAATGATTCTAGGTTACTGTGTCCAAAGCTCACGGATGACATGCATATTGTCCACAGGTACTTGTTTCGGTGTTCGTGGCGACAGCCTACGCCTCTCCCCAAGGCTACAACCTGCGCACACCGTCGGGTCCAAGGATCTCCATCGGTGGATCAGGGTTCTCAACAGGAGGTTCAGGGTTTATCTCAGGAGGTTCAGGGTTCTCCTCAGGCGGCTCTGGCTCTTATGGAGGTGGAGAGACTAGAGGCAACTGTGGTCCTGGACAGGTCCGTCATGTGGACGGCAGCTGTGTGAATCCTCAAGTTACTCGCAACTTGTATGTGTACACCGTCCCTCGAGCAGCTCCAATCGTGGGCCCACGACCAAACGTTCCTCCACCAAGAGTTGAACACAATGTTATCTTCATTCGCACCCCAGAGAACGGCCCAGGCCAGGAACCCATTGTCGTGCCACCACCACAAACAAGGAACGTCGTGTACGTCCTTAACAAGCGACCTGAAGAAGACCAGAGAGTCATCCACGTACCAGCACCAGAACAAGAGACTCCTGAGGTGTTCTTCATCAACTACGGTGAGGGAGAAAACCCAACTCTGCCCACCGGCGAGGACCTCCAGTCTGCTCTTCGGTCCGCTTCCCAGGGTGAAGGCGATATCATTGGTAGCACCGGAGGTGAGATTCGTGGCGATGGCTTAATTGGTGGTGGTGATGGAAGCATTGCGATTGCTGGAGGCGGTGGATCTATTGTGAGCGGCGGTGGCAATGTAATTTCAGGAGGTGGTGTCTCCGTGTCTCAACCTTCAGGATTGTACGCACAGCCATAACTCATGGACCCTCACTTCTGAAGACGGAGTAGCTGACTATACATTATATTTATATTAGCGCTTGTGTGCAGAGGTCTCAGATATCTATAATATATTTATGTTTATTAACGTTGTAAATGAATTTGCACTTTATTCAAAATTCATTAAATACCAAATCAACTGTCATAACTCTTAGCTTCCAAAAAATAAATTATGATACATATTTTAACATTTTTTATTTGTTTCCTGAATATGTCGTGATCATAAACTAGATAGATTTTGACACAATGATAACCCGGTGAGCACCTGGTGACTAATCTGAAATCGATTGAACCTCATACACTAAAAAAAAAAATATGTTTTTGAGTTTCCCATCTAGAATAAATGGTCCTTACGAATGCTATCACCATTAAGAAATAACAAAACATTGCAAGTATTAGTTTACCGGAAGAAATCCGGATTCAGTAAAGCCACATTTAGCCAAATTGTAAAAGGTGAAAATAGTTCTGTTTTGGGCCTTACAATGTTTCTCCCATAATATATAAGCACAACTAAATGGTTTACACAAAATAGTTTACCTTCAGGTGAAACAACATGAGCATTTGTCAACTTCATGTTAGCTGCAGCAAGGCATCCTCCGATGTCCCTTACACGAGTTAAGAATCTCTCGGTGACTCACGACTTTGTTCTTTGGTGTACAACATGTGGACAGCCTGTATAATTATGCAGTAGCTATGTTTTGCTTGACTGTGACCTTTAACTGATTAACCCCCAGCACACACCAGGTTCTCGGAATGATCCCCACGAATTTAGTGTGAAAGTTTGACAACAAAATGTACGTATTTGTTTATATAAGTTACACACTTCTAAACACCGATAGACAAAGACACTCATATCATCACCACATAAATTTACACAGCAGACTTTTGTATAGTAGTTAACAGAAACACAACAATTAAATTGGTATTAAATAATATACTGTATGATATGGTTAAATAAAAAAAAAAAACGTAAACCTATTCTGAGATCCTGAATGCTAACTCGTCTGATTTTTATCCAACAGGTGACTGAGTGATCCTGGACACCCGAGTTCCTGCGCTAACATAAGGTAATGTGTTGGAGATCTTACTCAAGTTAAAGGTTATAAAAGTTTCCTCTCTCTCTCTCTCTCTCTCTCTCTCTCTCTCTCTCTCCGTGTTCGCTTGTTACTGTCTCCCTCTCGTGGTCAGAGGTAGTAAATGTCTCAGAAGCGAGTGAGGACATTATTCTTGTGGGTGTAAGGTAACAAGTCTACCATGACAGTTACAGAGTTTAGACAACAGCCTCCCTCCCCTGCCTCCCCTCTCCCTGCTCCTTCCATTAAAGAAATAATCATTAGAAATTAAAATTCGTCTCTCATTCACTTTCATTACGATGTTGGTAAAAACTTAATGGAACGAATTGATGAAGATGCAATTGTACTAATGTTATGGCATCATTCACACTGCCTGTTAGCTTCAGGTTTTAGTAATATATTCATCAACAGTGACAGGTGGCAGTCTCGCAGCATTTACATACATTTGAATATACATTAAGTGGAGTTTATTTGTTCTCGGGAGATTGGTTGTCTTAGCTCTTAAAATTTCGTTTGATTTATCGATTGATTTTAGAAACAACTTTTTATCGTGTTCTGAATATACCAAACAATACTGTAGAATATGAAGGCGTTTATTAGATAGCGAATATTCGATAAAAAAGATTTTTTTTAGCTGATTATTCGACTCACAGGAGGAGTTTGGTGTCATAATGAGGTACAGTTGTAATTCTTAAGGCAGTATGGATCAGGAGGTATGCTAGGTGGCCCTCCCCAGCGTGAAGCAGTACTGTTATATTACCTCCTTATTAGTTATACTTCGAGGTCATCTAAACATACGCAGTGGCAAAGACAAGTGAAGCGCCGGGTTGGGACAGACACCACTCTTTTTCCACAGAACATCGAAAGTTACTATAATGTGAACCGTAATTTTCCCCAAAAGGCAATATTTCTTTTTTTTCTTCTCACAAATATGCACCCATGTACAGTACCAGTATAATTACCAGTGATCAGGGCGCCTCTTACTGCTAACAAGGCATGCAGCTTACAGGTGTCATGGAGCGCTGAATGACAGTCTTTAGCTGCAGTCTCTTGTGTGCAGTGATTATATATTATTTTGTGACATAATTAAAAATATGTAATAGTGGTTACGTCACTTTCTCAATACTCATCACTTCTCTTATAGTCTAGTGTAGGTATTTCACGTAACTCATTGTAAAATAATTATGAAATCGTACATCTCCTTAATTTAATAAAGTTGTAAATACCTTTAATATCCCCCAAAAAAAACAGTAAGCCCAATTGCACTAAAATACTATGGTCGATTTTCTTATAAAGTTGCTGACATATTTAATGTAAACCTAAGACCATTTCCAGAGTCTTTACAAAACGTTGGAATTAACTTGTCCTAGAATGATTGCAAAAGCTAAATTACCATTGCTTAAAAATACACCAAATGTATTCTCTCAACCCATTTCGGAACGACCCTCCTACCCCCCCCCAACCCCATTGAAAGAGCCAGGTTACGTCCCTGTGGTGGTGGTTAAGTGTGTTTGTTTGTGTGAATGCTATCTACCAGAGTGTTCCCCTCGATTACAAAACAAACTAGTTCCTTCATTTAACACAATTCCCCATTTACTCTTGTCAATTTCCTATTTAAAAATGCGGCACAGCGTCGCTCCCAAAGTTCAGTCCATCAAAGGAGTTAACTCTATGGTATCACTATTTTCTATATTCATTAGAATGGAGTCAGCGTGTTGTGGTGGTCCGTCTGATAATACTAATGGTGAGGAAAAATCACACAGAGCCGACCAAAACCACTTGACAGCATGGAGTGTGTACAGGGGCGAGATCGCTATATGAACTTGATAAATATAAAATAAATTAACACTTCCACCATATATCTGTTTACGTATGGATGATGAGCTAGATAACATAACATATATCTATAATTCTCCCAAAACTTATTGTAAACATTGTCCCTAGTCCCTAGAACACCTGGGTAAGAGACCTCTACTTAGTAGTCTTGCCACCTGCCCAGGACTTTGTTTATTTTTGTTCTATTAAATACATATTGATACATGTGACCTGAATAACAATGCTTTGACAAGATTAAGAGTAGCCACAGCATGTAACAATACTGGGTAAATATACATGTACAGAGGAAAGAAGAAAAAGTTACGAAAGCTGGAGGAAAATTGAGGTGAAGGAGAGGGAGGGAGGGGGGTGGGAAGAAGACAGTGGTCGCAGATGAGGAAGTTTTACTGATGAGTCAACAGATGAGGTGATCACCAGGAATATGCTCACCAACCCTGCAATAGCCATGACTTTAGCTAAATAAAATACCGAAAGTGGCGACGCCGTAGTGAAGGGTTAAGGGTGAACTTAAACATAATGGTTAAACAGTAATATTTGTTTTACAGTATATATATAAAGAGCCTACACAAACGTCACCAAAAGCTCATTGTTTACCCCTATAAGCCGGGTCACTCAATCACATGCATTTTTTTTTTTTACATATTTTCTACAGACGTCGTATGCAGTTGAAAACATACGATAGTTTTCAGTAATTTTTTAAAGGCAAAAAAGGTTACAAAAAACATTGGTACCTCTGTGTTCGTCTTGATACCTCCAAAATGTTCTATGCTACTGAAGGTATATATAAACACTTGCTATCTTAAAAGTAGGTTCTATTCTCGTACGGGAGATATATATACAGAGGGACCAAGAAGCTCACTTCCGCACCACAAGGACTGGCAGTCTTCACTCTCTCTATGTATTACTGCGTGCTTGCATGTACAGATGCCAGCATTCACAAGCTGAATACATAAAGTATAAATATGATAATTTATATACATAACATGGTGCATAATAAATGGGAATATTACATAGAATTAATACATGTTCTGTAATACTTACTATACATAATTAATAGAGTAATATAAGAGTAATATAATAATACACAGCTAAAGGTACTACTTTGTGTCCATATATACAGTACCTAAAAGTTCTAATTATTATGTGTATATTGATCTTATTTACATTACAAATACAGTTTTACGAGAAAAAAAACGAATTGAAAGTATTACAAACCTTGGATGTATTCTTGGATGGATATGAGAACGACATTTTGTTGAGTCCATCCCGAGTGAGAGCTTAATTAATTCTCTACAAATTTCACATAACGCGGGTACCCAACTTTACATGCTCTCTATGTATTTTGTATTTGTATTTTCTAATTCATAATACCTTTTATCTCGACAAATGACCCAACTACACTAACCACATTTTGTTGGATTCATTTTTGCTTAGTAACAAAAAAGAAGTGGAACGTTTAGAAAAAGGGAACAGGGTTAAATATAAGAAGGGAAAGGATGCCAAGAATAAATGAAACGAGAATTATTTGTTTTTGTAAGTATTTTTCTTCATTGGAAAATTGGTTTACCTCATTTTTTATAAGGTGAAGCAACACGTTTGAACTGTGTAAATATTTATTCTGGTGAGAGAGGATTGACGTTCGCAATAAAACATAATAATCATACGTTCTTGCTTTAAGGACATTACTCACATAAGATAAATTGTTAGGAATTTAAATTTTTAGACACGTTATGTGTGAGCTACAGCATGACTACCAGTGAAGCCTTCGGGAAATACTAGACCCGCTGCTCCCATAAGTTAAGTTGTAATATGTCAAAATTTTTCCTATAACGACACATGACTCATTGGACATTGAAAAAGGCCATTTACAGGTACAGTACCACATGTATGCTAAGAACATTTGGACATTGATTGAGAGGCTATAAATGACTAATCTTCATGCTAGAGTACTTAATGTACTCTCAGTGAGTAGCTGCATATTGTAATCTACTTTAATGATCTGAACGCTGCACAGCCTGGAGTTGGTAGTTGACCTCTTGTCTTTGGTGCTTAGCAGAATTATTCTAAAATATTTCTGTTTATTCACTTGAATAAAAAGGAACAAACATTATTGGTTTAAAAGAAGAATTTTGTTATTAAGTCTGATATTAATCCAAATTTTTATTGTGAATATTTAAATTTTTTGTTTGAGGGATTATAATCCATGACCTAGCAAGGCTGTCTTAAATTACCGCATATAATGTGAAAGTCATCTATAACGGAGCTCAACCGCTGAGTCATGGGTACCATCCTCTCATCCTCTTCTCAAGACTTGTGCAATGTCGTGCCTGCCACACCTGACGTACTGGCTGGCTACTGGTCATGCTGCACCACCACTAATGCATCACACACACTCAGTGACATTTTCTTATTGTATCATTATTACCCGGAGATATCAGTCAAGAAATTTTGTTTACTTTTGTTGGATCAGACATCATTATTTCCTACTGATTCTTTAATAAATTATTTGCTTTCTACGCCCTTAACTCATGAGACATAAAGGCAAGCATGAACTTAGCATGCTTCCCTGTTGGGCGCTGTAAACGCTTCTGCGCTTCACCTTACACAAGGATGTAGGGGGGTGCCCAGTAAAAAAAAAAAAAAAAAAATCCCCGTAAAAAAAAAAGTTTCAAATTACAAACGAATATTAATGGTAGCTGTACAGTAGTAACTTTAACGCTGTCACATATAGCTTCTATCTCCGTAATTTAGATACTGCAGCTGTTGTGAATAAAATATTTTAACGATGACCCAAGAAATATGTGTTGAATCAACGTTGACAACTAAATTCATTCTCCAATTAACCCCAACAATAACCACCTTGTCTTTTATGTCACTGCACCTGCCTTGTTATTTATATTATTATCCTTTACTGCACACAACCCAAAGTATGTGTGTGTGTAGTAAATTCTCATAATTTCCAGATTAACACACACACACACACACACACACACACACACACACACACCTATGTATTAACAGCACAATGTTGTGATACACGTTATTACATCCCAGGAGTTTCCGTGGCATTTTCTTTCATTGGTCACTTCATAAGACTGGTAGCATGTCAACAGTTTGTCACAGAGTTATAGTGGTGAAAACAAACAAAACTTTATTACTACGGTATGTCCTGGAATAAACATTAAACTATATTTAGTAATACTTTAGTGCGTATGTATATGAGTCATGTGACATGTTCAGCTCCAAGTGATTGCTTTGCCTGTTAATACTTACTACATCTGTCACTGAAATGCTGTATCACCGTCTGTTTTCTTCATGCAATATTGATGCAGAGAGGGCTGGCGAGACCCAAGAAGAGCAGTGGAATGCTACCTGCTTGACATACTGAATATATGAGGTGAAAGGCGGGAAAGAGGATTAAATCCACCCACTGTGTGTCATGCATCTTGCTCAAGGTTGGTAGCCGCAATTATGTATTTAAAAATAAATGACAACACTTTGTAGATATTTCTAATGTTATTTTATAATTGTAAATAGTAATGTTTATATATACTGACTATTTATAGCTTACCACAATAATGATCACTTATACATGTTTACACAGTGAGTAAGTAACGCCTCAGGGCAGATGAGCCCCTCGCCCAACTGGAACACAAGACGAGAGGAGAGGAGGAGTCCTACAGTAGGTGATGAAAGCGAGGATCCCGAGTGAAAGAGAAAGAGGTATATAAGGTGGTGGACGCTTTGAGCTGGCATCACACTCCACTATGAAGCTTCTGGTGAGTGACGACTCCTGCAGGCTCCAGTTGTGTCTCCCTTACAATGACGCAGTGCTGTTCATACACACACACACATCATGTTCTTACCCTTGACAGTCAGCCAGGCTGTAGAACTGTGATTATATTTGAGGCATAAGTGAGCGATACGCAGTTTAGCAAAAATGCCTGGCAAACTTTCCAGGCTTTAAGGATATGCCCCCAGGCTTGTGCTTAGAGTTGACAGGATGAAAACTGAGGAGGACTGAAACTGTAAAGACGTAAATCCTGTATTGATACAATCTATGGACATTGTTACATTGTTTCAAAACACGAATGATTTTTTATGTTGTGTTCACCTAACTTCAGTGGTATTAATGAACTGTAATAGTACAAGTTAAGTGCCAGCATAGATAATGGGTAGCGTAGCGATGGATACCATTATCATTATGCATAGTGCCACAGTTTTTGAAAGGAAAATTGATTTGATTAATTTATATACTTTTTAACTGTTGTTTACATATGCATTGATGTGCCTCTACTATCAATCTCCCAATGTGTTGTTCTTCATAATTTTTTAATCCAATGTTTAGAAAAACTATAAATAGTATTCTGATTAAGTGTCAGCCTAAGTATGAAAGGTCCATTGCTTGTACTATTACGGTCCATAGTGCATCTCAGCTTATGAAGAAAACACTTTGATGAAATTTACCTCCCCTACCCCCACATCTTCTATTGGTAACCTAACCTAAATACATCCACATCTTAGAGTCTCACAAACATCCAAAATTTCACATAGTATTCATGTTTATTATATAAGCGATAATTAACAAGCACACTCCCTACCAGTCTATGGAGTAACATAGAATTTTCCTAAAAATTTTTTACAAAATATAATTATAAATTTCTAGAGTCAGCAGATTAATAAACAGTTGGTTTATTTCTTTTACCACAGATACTCTGCTTCTGCATGGCGGCGGCTGCTGACGCCGCCCCACAATTCTACAATCCACCTACTCCCTCTGTTCCAGGGTATTCCTCTGGATTCTCGTCGGGTAGATCAGGGTTTTCGGGCAGCTCAGGGTTCTCGGGTGGCTCAGGATTCTCGAGTGGCTCAGGGTTCTCGGGTGGCTCAGGGTTCTCGGGTGGCTCAGGGTTCTCGGGTGGCTCAGGGTTCTCGGGTGGCTCAGGGTTCTCAGGTAGCTCAGGGTTCTCTGGTGGTTCAGGGTTCTCAGGTGGCTCTGGCTCTTATGGGGGTGGGGGAGGTGGGGGCAGCTGTGGTCCTGGACAGGTCCGTCATGTGGACGGCAGCTGTGTGACTCCTCAGGTCACTCGCAACTTGTATGTGTACACCGTCCCTCCAGCAGCTCCAGTAGTGGGTCCACGACCTTACGTTCCGCCACCAAGAGTTGAACACAATGTTATCTTCATTCGCACCCCAGAGAACGGCCCTGGCCAGGAACCCATTGTCGTGCCACCACCACAAACAAGGAACGTCGTGTACGTCCTCAACAAGCGACCTGAAGGAGACCAGCAGGTCATCCACGTACCAGCACCAGAACAAGAGACTCCTGAGGTGTTCTTCATCAACTACGGTGAGGGAGACAACCCAACTCTGCCCACCGGCGAGGACCTCCAGTCTGCCCTCAACTCTGCTACCCAGGGTGGCGGCAATGTCATTGGTAGCACCGGAGGCGGTATTGGCGGTGGGTCTGGTATCATTGGTGGTGGTAGCAGGGGCGGCGGCGGCATCATTGGCGGTGGCGGCGGTGGCATCATTGGTGGTGGAGTCGGCGGCGGCGGCGGCATCATCATTGGTGGTGGCGGCAGCGGCGGCGGCGGCATCATTGGTGGTGGCGGTGGTGGTTACAGTCCTCCCTCATCATTGTATTCACAGCCATAGTCACGGTCTTTATTCCTCTATATTGATGTGAATAATTTTGTCAAGTGACTGCATCTATCCTCTCCAATATGTTGATCATTGTTACAAATTAATTCAGGCTCAGTTGATTTCCTTGAATTACTGATTTATTTTTGTTTATTAAAATGTTATAAAAATAAATGGTTGTATACATTTAAGTTTTCAGTTCCCTTTTTTGATGATTTTATGATGTTATGTGATGTATCTTCTGCTGAATATTCTCGTCATATTTTTTTATACAACACTAAACAATATTTATTCATTATCCATTTTGATAACGATTGAAAATTTCAAAATCACAGTTTCTTGGAGATGGGAGAAAATGCCTCAAGACGCCAAAACTCAAAGTTTTGAAATGAAACCCAATTAAGAACCATCTGTTTGGTCAATACGTTTCCAAATACGTAGAGATCGTATAAGAATATTAGAACATAAGAATGGAGGAAACTGCGGCGGGCCTATTGGCTCATACTGGGCTGTCCCGTTTACACCTAACTCATATCGCTCATATACCCATTCAACCTACTCTATCTAGCGTAAATCTAAATTTGTCTAATTTAAAACCATTGCTACGAGTTTACTCCTGGTTGGGTAATTTGGGTACCTTTGTTATATCACTTTTTTTAGCCCTGACTTCCATTTGTACACCTCTATCATATCGCCCCTCACTCGACGTCTCTCGAGGGAGTGCAAATTAAGATGCTTTAACCTGTCTCTGTACCCAACGTTCCTAATGTCCGGGACTAGTCTTGTCATTTTGCTCTGAATTCTTTCTAGTTATTCTATATCCATTCTGTAGTACGGTGACCAGAACTGAACTGCGTAATCCAAGTGAGGTCTCACAAGCACAGAATATAGTTTTAGGATAACCTCGCTAGTCTTGTAACTAACACTATTTTCTATGAACCCATGGAATTTGTTAGCATTGTTTCGAGCAAGTACACATTGTTGACCTAGTTTAAGATTCTTACTTATCATTACTCCAAAATCTTTCTCCCAGTCGGATTTCTCTATAACAACGTTGTTTGTCTGATATCTGGTTTCTCTGTTTACATCTCCTAGACTAAGTACTTTACATTTATCCACATTAATTTTCATCTGCCATTTTTCAGACCATTCGAATTATTTTTTTTAGATCTTCCTGAAGTTTTGCGGAGTCCTCATAAGATTTAATTAAAAGGCCCTATTTTAGTGTCATCAGCAAATTTACTTATGTGCTGTCTACGCCTATATCTATGTCCTTTATGTATATAATAAATAATAATGGTCCGTGTACCGAGCCTTGGGGTACTCCACTAGTGATGTTACCCCAATCGGATTTGCTGTTAATCCTTAGTCGGTGTTTCCTGTCCTGTCACCATCCCTAATCCATTTTAGTAAATCTCCTCTAATGCCACGATCCTCCACTTTTCGTATTAGTCCTTCGTCGGGGACTCTGTCGAAGGCTTTGCTAATGTCGAGATATACCACATCATAATTGTGCCCGTCGTCAACTGATTTGAAAACATTTAAAAAAGTATGTTAATAGATTAGTCAGACATGAACGCTCACTTGCAAAGCCATGTTGGGAATCATTGATCAACTTGTACTTCTCCAGGTGAATTTGAATAGAATTTGAAATTATTGCTTCCAGTAATTTGTCTATATAATTGACGTTAAACTGATTGGGCGGTAGTTAGAGGATAGTGATATATCTGGCAGGGGAGAATTATATATCAATATTCTTGTCACATCTAGAAACACAATAGTCATACGTGACTTGTTTTGTCCTTTGTTAATTTTATATAATGTATCATGACCTTGAAACAAAGATGTATGTTTATGAAATGTTCACTACATTATTGAGTTCCACAATCGCCGTCGGGGGTAGTTGGTAGAGTCTTATAATCTCCGACCTCTGGCATAAGCTCTGTGTTGATTGTTGTATCACGCGTGCTAAGGGTCCCGCCAGGTGAAAGGGGGAGGTTCACGAGCCTTTCTCAGGTCACAGCTGAGAAAGAAAAAAAAACAGTAAAAAGTAAGTTTCTTACTAATAATGTAAAGGATCACTTTCATCGCAACTAAAATTCCCATTAATACATCAAAAGAAAATGAGAAAACTTTTGTCGATTAAAATCTGAAGTTTGAGTGTAAATGAATCTAGACTGTTCAGGATGCCTCTATCAGCCTTTTATTAGATGACTGAAAAGATGAGCGAAGTTTTCCCAGATGTCCTCAATTGAAGATTATATTAAGCACCTACTGTACGTTCGCGTTTTACTAGACAACAAATACCCAACTTTGTGTCTGTGTTACGCACTGACAACATCACGTCACCGCACTATAACAATATTTCTGTACACGGTCATCCAAAAAGAATACTCAGATTATAACATATAGCCATTTTAAACCATGACATTCTTTTTCTATTTTATGGTATTGTTTCTTTCAAAGACCCCTTGCGTGTTGCTTGACTGACGTCATCCCCATAAGTGAGGTGCACAGCCCTAACCAGACCAAACAGTTGTTCTAATATGAATTTATTATTTCATTGATTTATTATGTCTAGTCATGGTGGACAAATAGTAAAACCAATAACAGTTAAACACGGATGTTTTATTTTTCATTCACAGTTACCTAACCAGTTAACATATGTAAATAAGTAACAAAGTTTATTATGTAAATAAATAACTAAGTCTAATGTGTAAATGAATAACATGGTATTTAATATACAAATAAAATAATCCGTTTTGATTGAATTAACACAATGCAAAATAATACTGTAGTGTTTTCGAAAATGCCCGTCACTTCATGGATATGGTAATATAGTAGTTTGTTGCGATGTTGTAGCAGCTGGGACGAGCAAAATTTATATATAATGAAAGATACTCGAATGTCGTGCAAATGAACCTTTTGGAATATCCATCAAACAATAAATGTTCTCTTCTTAGTGTATATTTGGGTCGTGTGTCCTGGATTGCTCCAGTCCGAAAAATTCACGCTGGTAATGGTGGCTGCCTGATGTCACTTTATGTTTGATGACTGCGGAGTGGAGCATCACTCTTCAAGTCTAATTCCACTGACGGCCACTTCATCAACTCCATTCTATAGTGATGCTAGACTCGTGAGTCATGTGATGAGCAGCGGTGAAGTAGAAATTATAAAGTGAAAGACGGGAACAGAAGATTAAATCCTTTGTGTGGTCGTCCATATAACTCAACGCTGGCTTCCATAAACCCTTCTTATGTTTAGTGAAAAATGTTTACGGCTATGAAATCAATGTGCCAACATGAATATTATAGAATTAACATAGATATTTGATAGTTCTGTAGCCAATTACCAGATTTTGAAGATTAGGACCACTTGGTTGTGTTTACCAGTGATTCATTGTTTGACGCCTCGGGGCAGATGAGTCCCGGGCCCAGTTGAAACGCAAGACGAGGAGAGAGGAGGAGTCCTGCAGTATATGATGAAAGCGAGGATCCCGAGCCAGTGAAAGAGACGGAGGTATATAAGGTGGTGGACACTTTGAGCTGGCATTAGACTCTACCATGAAGCTTTTGGTGAGTGCCGCCTCCTAGTGTGGTGCTGCTCACACCCACATAGTGTTATCTTCACCCTCAGCAGTCCCTCGGGCTGTAGAACTGTGGTGGTGTGTGGGATAAGAAAGTGATACGCTATTTGACCAGGACACAGTAGCTATAAGATGTTTAACTCAAGTTGATCATAAATGTTTGTGACACGATCAAGATGAGCCACACCTGTGGAGTAACTAGAATTTACTGACAAGTATGAAATAATCAAATTGAATTGAACTATATTGTTATCTAAACCAAATCAATTAACCCTCACCATAACCACTAGAATCTTCTTACGTAGTAAAAGTCAGATGTATATTTTTTTTTGTACAGAAATCAGTGTCTGATACATTGAACGACGCCATTATTTCTACTGTTCAAACATATGAATACTGTCGCACCATTCCCTACAACACATTCTTGCCAAACAACGGTTCTAAATATATATTTCAGAAGTTCCATTTTCAATGATTTCTCTCATATTTAGCCTCTTACCCGTTCTTCTAACAGTGCCATTAACAGAATGTAATTGATCAACCCAGAATATTATGTGAGCCAACAGAATATAGCAGCATAGTGTATGAGGACTAGTAAACGATTTAGATAACAGTAGTGTTTCACGCCGATAAGTTAAAGGTTGTTATTAAACCTAAATGTAAATATTCCCCATCTAACCCAAATCTTGTAGTGGTAACATTAACCAAGAAACATCCACATCTTGTAGTGGTAACATTAACCAAGAAACATCCACATCTTGTAGTGGTAACATTCACCTAGAAACATCCACATCTAGTAGTGGTAACATTAACCGAGAAACATCCACATCTTGTAGTGGTAACATTAATCTAGAAACATACACATCTTGTAGTGGTAACATTAACCGAGAAACATCCACATCTTGTAGTGGTAACATTAATCTAGAAACATACACATCTTGTAGTGGTAACATTCACCTAGAAACATCCACATCTTGTAGTGGTAACATTAGCCGAGAAACACTTGTATTTCTTAGACATCGGAAATTAGCTTTACATGTTAACGTTGATATTAATTATCTTTTGGATGTAGTTAATACAAACACCCTCCATGATACTCTTACATAGTATCGATGAAAATTCTTACTTGTTTATCGGTAAAAATCACCACATATTAAGCAATTTCCTAAAAGAGTTTTCTGTTCTTCTACGACAGATATACTGCTGCTTGTTGGCGGCTGCTGCAAACGCCGCCCCTCAAGGGTACAGTCTGGCCACACCCTCTGGTCCACGGTTCTCTTCTGGCTCTGGGTTCTCCGGTGGCTCTTTTCGTGGTGGGTTCTCATCGCGTGGCTCTGGCTTCTCAGGCGGTTCATCGTTTGGTTCGAGTTTCTCTTCAGGAAGTTCAGGGTTCTCAGGTAGTTCAGGGTTCTCGGGTGGTTCAGGGTTCTCAGGTGGCTCTGGCTCTTATGGGGGTGGGGGAGGTGGGGGCAGCTGTGGTCCTGGACAGGTCCGTCATGTGGACGGCAGCTGTGTGACTCCTCAGGTCACTCGCAACTTGTATGTGTACACTGTCCCTCCAGCAGCTCCAGTAGTGGGCCCACGACCAAACGTTCCTCCACCAAGAGTTGAACACAATGTTATCTTCATTCGCACCCCAGAGAACGGCCCAGGCCAGGAACCCATTGTCGTGCCACCACCACAAACAAGGAACGTCGTGTACGTCCTCAACAAGCGACCTGAAGGAGACCAGCAGGTCATCCACGTACCAGCACCAGAACAAGAGACTCCTGAGGTGTTCTTCATCAACTACGGTGAGGGAGACAACCCAACTCTGCCCACCGGCGAGGACCTCCAGTCTGCCCTCAACTCTGCTACCCAGGGTGCCGGCAATGTCATTGGTAGCACCGGAGGCGGTATTGGCGGTGGGGTTGGTATCATTGGTGGTGGCGGTGGCGGCGGCGGTGGCATCATTGGTGGTGGCGGCGGCGGTGGCATCATTGGTGGTGGCGGTGGTGGCATCATTGGCGGCGGCGGCATCATCATTGGTGGTGGTGGTGGCGGCGGCGGCATCATTGGTGGTGGCGGCGGCGGCGGCATCATTGGTGGTGGCGGTGGTGGTTACAGTCCTCCCTCATCATTGTATTCACAGCCATAGTCACGGTCTTTATTCCTCTATATTGATGTGAATAATTTTGTCAAGTGACTGCATCTATCCTCTCCAATATGTTGATCATTGTTACAAAGTAATTCAGGCTCAGTTGATTTCCTTGAATTACTGATTTTCTTTTGTTTATTAAAATTATATACAAATAAATGGGTTATACATTTAAGTTTTCAATTCCCTTTTTTGATGATTTTATGATGTTATGTGATGTATCTTCTGCTGAATATTCTCGTCATATTTTTTTATGCAACACTAAACAATATTTACTCATTATCCATTTTGATAACGATTGAAAACTTCAAAATCACAGTTTCTTGGAGATGGGAGAAAATGCCTGAAGACGTCAAAACTCAAAGTTTTGAAATGAAACCCAATTAAGAACCATCTGTTTGGTCAAGACGATTCTAAATATGTAGAGATCGTATAAGAATATAAGAACATAAGAATAGAGGAAACTGCAGCGGGCCAAATGGCCCATACTGGGCAGTCCCGTTTACACTTAACTCCTATCGCTCATAATTATACCTATCCAACCTATGTTTGAAGCTATCCAGCGTATTCGAGTTAATGATGATGTTTGGTAACTTGTTCCATTCATCCACTAATATATTTTCAAACCAACGCTTACCTATCTCGCGCCTAAATCTAAATTTGTCTAATTTAAAATCCATTGCTACGAGTTCGCACCTGGTTGGGTAGTTTGGGTACCTTTGTTATATCACCTTTGTTTAGCCCTGACTTCCATTTATACACCTCGATCATATCGCCCCGCATTCTTCGTCTGTCAAGGGAGTGTAAATTAAGATGCTTCAACCTGTCTCTGTACTCAAGGTTCCTAATGCCCGGGATTAGTCTTGTCATTCTCCTCTGAATTCTTTCCAAGGATTCTATATCCATTCTGTAGGACGGTGACCAGAACTCAACTGCGTAATCCAAGTGATGTCTCACAAGCTGAGGATATAGTTAAAGGATAACCTCGCTAGTTTTGTAGTTAACACCATTTTCTTTGAACTCAAGCAGTTTGTTAGCCTTTTTTCGAGCAAATACACATTGTTGGCCTGGTTTAAGATTCCATATTATCATTACTCCTAAATCTTTCTCACAATCGGATTTCTCTATAACAACGTTGTTTATCTGATATCTGGTTTCTCTGTTTACATCTCCTAGACTAAGTACTTTACATTTATCCACATTTAATTTCATCTGCCAGTTTTCAGACTATTCGATTTTTTTTAGATCTTCCTGAAGTTTGGCGGAGTCCTCATAAGATTACATTAAACGCCCTATTTTAGTGTCATCAGCAAATTTATGTATGTTGCTGTCTACGCCTATATCTATTTCCTTTATGTTTTTAATAAATAATAATGGTCCAAGTACTGAGCCTTCGGGTACTCCACTAGTGATGTTACCCTAATCGGATTTAGTGCCCTCAATCCTTAGTCGGTGTTTCCTGTCTTGTGACCACGCCCTAATCCATTTTAGTAAATCTCCTCCAATGCCACGAACCTCCACTTTTCGTATTAGTCCTTCGTGGGGGACTCTGTCGAAGGCTTTGCTTAAGTCGAGATATACCACATCATAATTGTGCCCGTCGTCAACTGATTCGAAAACAGTTGAAAAGAATGTGAATAGACAAGAACGCCCACTTGCGAAGCCATGTTGGGAATCATTGATCAACTTGTGCTTCTCCAGGTGAATTTGAATAGAGTTTGAAATTATTGCTTCCAGCTACTTACTTATATAATTGACGTTAAACTGATTGGACGGTAGATAGAGGAAAGTGATATATTTGGGAGGGGAGAATTATATATCAATATTCTTGTCACATCTAGAAACACAATAGTCATACGTGACTTGTTTTGTCCTTTGTGAATTTTATATTATGTATCATGACCTTAAAATAAAGATGTTTGTTTATAAAATGTTCACTATATTATTAAGTTCCACAATAGCCGTCGGGGGTAGCTGGTACAGTCTTATAATCATCCAACCTCTGGCATAAGCTCTGTGTTGATTGTTGTATCACGCGTGCTAAGGGTCCCGCTAGGTGAAAGGGGGAGGTTCACGAGCCTTTCTCAGGTCACATGTGAGAAAGAAAAAAATGTAGTTCAAAGCAACAGTTTCTTACTAATAATGTAAAGGATCACTTTCATCGTAACTAAAATTCCCATTAAAACATCAAAAGAAAATGAGAAAACTTTTGTGGATTAAAATCTGAAGTTTGAGTGTAAGTGAATCTAGACTGTTCAGGATGCCTCTATCAGCGTTTTATTAGATGAGTGAATCGATGAGCGAAGTTTTCCCAGATGTCCTCAATTGAAGATTATATTAAGCACCTACTGTACGTTCGCGTTTTACTAGACAACAAATACCCAACTTTGTGTCTGTGTTACGCACTGACAACATCACGTCACCGCACTATAACAATATTTCTGTACACGGTCATCCAAAAAGAATACTCAGATTATAACATATAGCCATTTTAAACCATGGCATTCTTTTTCTATTTTATGGTATTGTTTCTTTCAAAGACCCCTTGCGTGTTGCTTGACTGACGTCATCCCCATAAGTGAGGTGCACAGCCCTCACCAGACCAAACAGTTGTTCTAATATGAATTTATTATTTCATTGATTTATTATGTCTTGTCATGGTGGACAAATAGTAAAACCAATAACAGTTAAACACGGATGTTTTATTTTTCATTCACAGTTACCTAACCAGTTAACATATGTAAATAAGTAACAAAGTTTATTATGTAAATAAATAACTAAGTCTAATTTGTAAATGAATAACATGGTATTTAATATACAAATAAAATAATCCGTTTTGATTGAATTAACACAATGCAAAATAATACTGTAGTGTTTTCGAAAATGCCCTTCACTTCATGGCATGGTAATACAGTAGTTTGTTGCGATGTTGTAGCAGCGGGGACGAGCAAAATTTATATATAATGAAAGATACTCGAATGTCGTGCAAATGAACCTTTTGGAATATCCATCAAACAATAAATGTTCTCTTCTTAGTGTATATTTGGGTCGTGTGTCCTGGATTGCTCCAGTCCGAAAAATTCACGCTGGTAATGGTGGCTGCCTGATGTCATTTTATGTTTGATGACTGCGGAGTGGAGCATCACTCTCCAAGTCTAATTTCACTGACTGCCGCTTCATCAACTTCATTCTATAGTGATGCTAGACTCGTGAGTCATGTGATGAGCAGCGGTGAAGTAGAAATTATAAAGTGAAAGACGGGAACAGAAGATTAAATCCTTTGTGTGGTCGTCCATATAACTCAACGCTGGCTTCCATAAACCCTTCTTATGTTTAGTGAAAAATGTTTACGGCTATGAAATCAATGTGCCAACATGAATATTATAGAATTAACATAGATATTTGATAGTTTTGTAGCCAATTACCAGATTATGAAGATCAGGACCACTTTTTTTTTTTTTTTTTTTTTTACACGGGGATTAGCCCACCCGGATACAGGTCACTGACCCACAGGGGCCTGGGGGCGAAAATGTAATAATAATAATAATAATAATAATAATAATAATAATAATAATAATAATAATAATAATAATAATAATAATAATAATAAATAATAGTCATAATAATTCATTATAAATAAAATTTATGATAAAAAAACAAAAATAAAATAATGATGATAATAATACAGTAACTGTAATAATAATAATAATTTTAATAATATTGAACTATAAATACAAAAATGAATAAAAAGATCAAAAGTGAGAAACGATATATGTATGTTGTGTTGTCAATGGTAAGAGAAACAATTGAGACCCTGCAATTGTGTATAAATGAAGCAGAAAGTCAGATGAGCAACCTGGGACTTGGTCACAATTTTCGTGATGCCATATGGCAGCAGGGTCTACTTGGTTGTGTTTACCAGTGAGTCATTGTTTGATGCCTCGGGGCAGATGAGTCCCGTGCCCTGTTGAAACTGTTTGCATGACGAGGAGAGAGGAGGAGTCCTGCAGTATGTGATGAAAGCGAGGATCCCGAGCCAGAGTGAAAGAGACGGAGGTATATAAGGTGGTGGACGCTTTGAGATGGCATTAGACTCTACCATGAAGCTTTTGGTGAGTGCCGCCTCCTAGTGTGGTGCTGCTCACACCCACATAGTGTTATCTTCACCCTCAGCAGTCCCTCGGGCTGTACAACTGTGGTGGTGTGTGGGATAAGAAAGTGATACGCTATTTGACCAGGACACAGTAGCTATAAGATGTTTAACTCAAGTTGATCATAAATGTTTGTGACACGATCAAGATGAGCCACACCTGTGGAGTAACTAGAATTTACTGATCAGTATCAAATAATCAAATTGAATTGAACTATATTGTTATCTAAACCAAATCAATTAACCCTCACCATAACCACTAGAATCTTCTTACGTAGTAAAAGTCAGATGTATATTTTTTTTAGTACAGAAATCAGTGTCTAATACATTGAACGACGCCATTATTTCTACTGTTCAAACATATGAATACTGTCGCACCATTCACTACAACACATTCTTACCAAACAACGGTTCTAAATATATATTTCAGAAGTTCCATCTTCAATGATTTCTCTCATATTTAGCCTCTTACCCGTTCTTCTAACAGTGCCATTAACAGAATGTAATTGATCAACCCAGAATATTATGTGAGCCAACAGAATATAGCAGCATAGTGTATGAGGACTAGTAAACGATTTAGATAACAGTAGTGTTTCACGCCGATAAGTTAAAGGTTGTTATTAAACCTAAATGTAAATATTCCCCATCTAACCCAAATCTTGTAGTGGTAACATTAACCAAGAAACATCCACATCTTGTAGTGGTAACATTAACCAAGAAACATCCACATCTTGTAGTGGTAACATTAACCAAGAAACATCCAAATCTTGTAGTGGTAACATTAACCGAGAAACATCCACATCCTGTAGTGGTAACATTAACCAAGAAACATCCAAATCTTGTAGTGGTAACATTAACCGAGAAACATCCACATCTTGTAGTGGTAACATTAACCAAGAAACATCCACATCTTATAGTGGTAACATTAACTTAGAAACATCCGCAGTTTATTGTGGTAACATTCACCTAGAAACATACACATCTTGTAGTGGTAACATTCACCTAGAAACATCCACATCTTGTAGTGGTAACATTAACCTAGAAACACTTGTATTTCTTAGACATCGGAAATTAGCTTTACATGTTAACGTTGATATTAATTATCTTTTGGATGTAGTTAATACAAACACCCTCCATGATACTCTTACACAGTATCGATGAAAATTCTTACTTGTTTACCGGTAAAAATCACCACATATTATACAATTTCCTAAAAGAGTTTTCTGTTCTTCTACGACAGATATACTGCTGCTTGTTGGCGGCTGCTGCAAACGCCGCCCCTCAAGGGTACAATGTGGCCACACCCTCTGGTCCACGGTTCTCTTCTGGCTCTGGGTTCTCCGGTGGCTCTTTTGGCGGTGGGTTCTCATCGGGTGGCTCTGGCTTCTCAGGTGGCTCATCGTTTGGTTCGAGTTTCTCTTCAGGAAGTTCAGGGTTCTCTGGTGGCTCTGGCTCTTATGGAGGTGGGGGAGGTGGGGGCAGCTGTGGTCCTGGACAGGTCCGTCATGTGGACGGCAGCTGTGTGACTCCTCAGGTCACTCGCAACTTGTATGTGTACACCGTCCCTCCAGCAGCTCCAGTAGTGGGCCCACGACCAAACGTTCCTCCACCAAGAGTTGAACACAATGTTATCTTCATTCGCACCCCAGAGAACGGCCCTGGCCAGGAACCCATTGTCGTGCCACCACCACAAACAAGGAACGTCGTGTACGTCCTCAACAAGCGACCTGAAGGAGACCAGCAGGTCATCCACGTACCAGCACCAGAACAAGAGACTCCTGAGGTGTTCTTCATCAACTACGGTGAGGGAGACAACCCAACTCTGCCCACCGGCGAGGACCTCCAGTCTGCCCTCAACTCTGCTACCCAGGGTGGCGGCAATGTCATTGGTAGCACCGGAGGCGGTATTGGCGGTGGGTCTGGTATCATTGGTGGTGGTAGCAGGGGCGGCGGCGGCATCATTGGCGGTGGCGGCGGTGGCATCATTGGTGGTGGAGTCGGCGGCGGCGGCGGCATCATCATTGGTGGTGGCGGCAGCGGCGGCGGCGGCATCATTGGTGGTGGCGGTGGTGGTTACAGTCCTCCCTCATCATTGTATTCACAGCCATAGTCACGGTCTTTATTCCTCTATATTGATGTGAATAATTTTGTCAAGTGACTGCATCTATCCTCTCCAATATGTTGATTATTGTTACAAAGTAATTCAGGCTCAGTTGATTTCCTTGAATTACTGATTTTCTTTTGTTTATTAAAATTATATAAAAATAAATGAGTTATACATTTAAGTTTTCAATTCCCTTTTTTGATGATTTTATGATGTTATGTGATGTATCTTCTGCTGAATATTCTCGTCATATTTTTTTATGCAACGCTGAACAATATTTACTCATTATTCATTTTGATAACGATTGAAAACTTCAAAATCACAGTTTCTTGGAGATGGGAGAAAATGCCTCAAGACGCCAAAACTCAAAGTTTTGAAATGAAACCCAATTAAGAACCATCTGTTTGGTCAAGACGATTCTAAATATGTAGAGATAGTATAAGATTATAAGAACATAAGAATAGAGGAAACTGCAGCGGGCCTAATGGCCCATACTGGGCAGTCCCGTTTACACCCAACTCCTATCGCTCATAATTATACCCATCCAACCTATGTTTGAAGCTATCCAGCGTATTCGAGTTAATGATGATGTTTGGTAACTTGTTCCATTCATCCACTAATATATTTCCAAACCAACGCTTACCTATCTCGCGCCTAAATCTAAATATGTCTAATTTAAAAACCATTGCTACGAGTTCGCACCTGGTTGGGTAGTTTGGGTACCTTTGTTATATCACCTTTGTTTAGCCCTGACTTCCATTTATACACCTCGATCATATCGCCCCGCATTCTTCGTCTGTCGAGGGAGTGTAAATTAAGATGCTTCAACCTGTCTCTGTACTCAAGGTTCCTAATGCCCAGGATTAGTCTTGTCATTCTCTTCTGAATTCTTTCCAAGGATTCTATATCCATTCTGTAGGACGGTGACCAGAACTGAACTGCGTAATCCAAGTGATGTCTCACAAGCTGAGGATATAGTTAAAGGATAACCTCGCTAGTTTTGTAGTTAACACCATTTTCTTTGAACTCAAGCAGTTTGTTAGCCTTTTTTCGAGCAAATACACATTGTTGGCCTGGTTTAAGATTTCATATTATCATTACTCCTAAATCTTTCTCACAGTCGGATTTCTCTATAACAACTTTGTTTATCTGATATCTGGTTTCTCTGTTTACATCTCCTAGACTAAGTACTTTACATTTATCCACATTTAATTTCATCTGCCATTTTTCAGACTATTGTTTTTTTTTCGATCTTCCTGAAGTTTGGCGGAGTCCTCATAAGATTTAATTAAATGCCCTATTTTAGTGTCATCAGCAAATTTATGTATGTTGCTGTCTACGCCTATATCTATTTCCTTTGTGTTTTTAATAAATAATAATGGTCCAAGTATTGAGCCTTGGGGTACTCCACTAGTGATGTTACCCTAATCGGATTTAGTGCCCTTAATCCTTAGTCGGTGTTTCCTGTCCTGTGACCACGCCCTAATCCATTTTAGTAAATCTCCTCTAATGCCACGAACCTCCACTTTTCGTATTAGTCCTTCGTGGGGGACTCTGTCGAAGGCTTTGCTAAAGTCGAGATATACCACATCATAATTGTGCCCGTCGTCAACTGATTCGAAAACAGTTGAAAAGAATGTGAATAGACAAGAACGCCCACTTGCGAAGCCATGTTGGGAATGATTGATCAACTTGTGCTTCTCCAGGTGAATTTGACTAGAGTTTGAAATTATTGCTTCCAGCTACTTACTTATATAATTGACGTTAAACTGATTGGACGGTAGATAGAGGAAAGTGATATATTTGGGAGGGGAGAATTATATATCAATATTCTTGTCATATCTAGAAACACAATAGTCATACGTGACTTGTTTTGTCCTTTGTGAATTTTATATTATGTATCATGACCTTAGAATAAAGATGTATGTTTATAAAATGTTCACTATATTATTAAGTTCCACAATAGCCGTCGGGGGTAGCTGGTACAGTCTTATAATCATCCAACCTCTGGCATAAGCTCTGTGTTGATTGTTCTATCACGCGTGCTAAGGGTCCCGCCAGGTGAAAGGGGGAGGTTCACGAGCCTTTCTCAGGTCACAGGTGAGAAAGAAAAAAAGTAGTTCAAAGCAAAAGTTTCTTACTAATAATGTAAAGGATCACTTTCATCGTAACTAAAATTCCCATTAAAACATCAAAAGAAAATGAGAAAACTTTTGTGGATTAAAATCTGAAGTTTGAGTGTAAGTGAATCTAGACTGTTCAGGATGCCTCTGTCAGCGTTTTATTAGATGACTGAATCGATGAGCGAAGTTTTCCCAGATGTCCTCAATTGAAGATTATATTAAGCACCTACTGTACGTTCGCGTTTTACTAGACAACAAATACCCAACTTTGTGTCTGTGTTACGCACTGACAACATCACGTCACCGCACTATAACAATATTTCTGTACACGGTCATCCAAAAAGAATACTCAGATTATAACATATAGCCATTTTAAACCATGGCATTCTTTTTCTATTTTATGGTATTGTTTCTTTCATTGACCCCTTGCGTGTTGCTTGACTGACGTCATCCCCATAAGTGAGGTGCACAGCCCTCACCAGACCAAACAGTTGTTCTAATATGAATTTATTATGTCTAGTCATGGTGGACAAATAGTAAAACCAATAACAGTTAAACACGGATGTTTTAATTTTCATTCACAGTTACCTAACCAGTTAACACATGTAAATAAGTAACAAAGTTTAATATGTAAATAAATAACTAAGTCTAATGAGTAAATGAATAACATGGTATTTAATATACAAATAAAATAATCCGTTTTGATTGAATTAACACAATGCAAAATACTACTGTAGTGTTTTCGAAAATGCCCCTCACTTCATGGCATGGTAATACAGTAGTTTGTTGCGATGTTGTAGCAGCGGGGACGAGCAAAATTTATATATAATGAAAGATACTCGAATGTCGTGCAAATGAACCTTTTGGAATATCCATCAAACAATAAATGTTCTCTTCTTAGTGTATATTTGGGTCGTGTGTCCTGGATTGCTCCAGTCCGAAAAATTCACGCTGGTAATGGTGGCTGCCTGATGTCATTTTATGTTTGATGACTGCGGGGTGGAACATCACTCTTCAAGTCTAATTTCACTGACGGCCGCTTCATCAACTTCATTCTATAGTGATGCTAGACTCGTGAGTCATGTGATGAGCAGCGGTGAAGTAGAAATTATAAAGTGAAAGACGGGAACAGAAGATTAAATCCTTTGTGTGGTCGTCCATATAACTCAACGCTGGCTTCCATAAACCCTTCTTATGTTTAGTGAAAAATGTTTACGGCTATGAAATCAATGTCAACATGAATATTATAGAATTAACATAGATATTTGATAGTTTTGTAGCCAATTACCAGATTATGAAGATCAGGACCACTTTTTTTTTTTTTTTTTGGGGATTAGCCCACCCGGACACAGGTCACTGACCCACATCGGGGCCTGGGGGGCGAAAATGTAATAATAATAATAATAATAATAATAATAATAATAATAATAATAATAATAATAATAAATAAATAATAGTCATAATAATTCATAATAAATAAAATTTATGATAAAAAAACAAAAATAAAATAATGATGATAATAATACAGTAACTGTAATAATAATAATATTAATAATATTGAACTATAAATACAAAAATGAATAAAAAGATCAAAAGTGAGAAACGATATATGTATGTTGTGTTGTCAATGGTAAGAGAAACAATTGGGACCCTGCAATTGTGTATAAATGAAGCAGAAAGTCAGATGAGCAACCTGGGACTTGGTCACAATTTTCGTGATGCCATATGGCAGCAGGGTCTACTTGGTTGTGTTTACCAGTGAGTCATTGTTTGACGCCTCGGGGCAGATGAGTCCCGTGCCCTGTTGAAACTGTTTGCATGACGAGGAGAGAGGAGGAGTCCTGCAGTATATGATGAAAGCGAGGATCCCGAGCCAGAGTGAAAGAGACGGAGGTATATAAGGTGGTGGACGCTTTGAGCTGGCATTAGACTCTACCATGAAGCTTTTGGTGAGTGCCGCCTCCTAGTGTGGTGCTGCTCACACCCACATAGTGTTATCTTCACCCTCAGCAGTCCCTCGGGCTGTAGAACTGTGGTGGTGTGTGGGATAAGAAAGTGATACGCTATTTGACCGGGAGACAGTAGCTATAAGATGTTAAACTCAAGTTGATCATAAATGTTTGTGACACGATCAAGATGAGCCACACCTGTGGAGTAACTAGAATTTACTGACCAGTATCAAATAATCAAATTGAATTGGACTATATTGTTATCTAAACCAAATCAATTAACCCTCACCATAACCACTAGAATCTTCTTACGTAGTAAAAGTCAGATGTATATTTTTTTTAGTACAGAAATCAGTGTCTGATACATTGAACGACGCCATTGTTTCTACTGTTCAAACATATGAATACTGTCGCACCATTCCCTACAACACATTCTTACCAAACAACGGTTCTAAATATATATTTCAGAAGTTCCATCTTCAATGATTTCTCTCATATTTAGCCTCTTACCCGTTCTTCTAACAGTGCCATTAACAGAATGTAATTGATCAACCCAGAATATTATGTGAGCCAACAGAATATAGCAGCATAGTGTATGAGGACTAGTAAACGATTTAGATAACAGTAGTGTTTCACGCCGATAAGTTAAAGGTTGTTATTGAACCTAAATGTAAATATTCCCCACCTAACCCAAATCTTGTAGTGGTAACATTAACCAAGAAACATCCAAATCTTGTAGTGGTAACATTAACCGAGAAACATCCACATCTTATATTGGTAACATTAACTAAGAAACATCCCCATTTTATTGTGGTAACATTCACCTAGAAACATACATATCTTGTAGTGGTAACATTCACCTAGAAACATCCACATCTTGTAGTGGTAACATTAACCTAGAAACACTTGTATTTCTTAGACATCGGAAATTAGCTTTACATGTTTACGTTGATATTAATTATCTTTTGGATGTAGTTAATACAAACACCCTCCATGATACTCTCACACAGTATCGATGAAAATTCTTACTTGTTTACCGGTAAAAATCACCACATATTATACAATTTCCTAAAAGAGTTTTCTGTTCTTCTACGACAGATATACTGCTGCTTGTTGGCGGCTGCTGCAAACGCCGCCCCTCAAGGGTACAATGTGGCCACACCCTCTGGTCCACGGTTCTCTTCTGGCTCTGGGTTCTCCGGTGGCTCTTTTGGCGGTGGGTTCTCATCGGGTGGCTCTGGCTTCTCAGGTGGCTCATCGTTTGGTTCGAGTTTCTCTTCAGGAAGTTCAGGGTTCTCTGGTGGCTCTGGCTCTTATGGAGGTGGGGGAGGTGGGGGCAGCTGTGGTCCTGGACAGGTCCGTCATGTGGACGGCAGCTGTGTGACTCCTCAGGTCACTCGCAACTTGTATGTGTACACCGTCCCTCCAGCAGCTCCAGTAGTGGGCCCACGACCAAACGTTCCTCCACCAAGAGTTGAACACAATGTTATCTTCATTCGCACCCCAGAGAACGGCCCTGGCCAGGAACCCATTGTCGTGCCACCACCACAAACAAGGAACGTCGTGTACGTCCTCAACAAGCGACCTGAAGGAGACCAGCAGGTCATCCACGTACCAGCACCAGAACAAGAGACTCCTGAGGTGTTCTTCATCAACTACGGTGAGGGAGACAACCCAACTCTGCCCACCGGCGAGGACCTCCAGTCTGCCCTCAACTCTGCTACCCAGGGTGGCGGCAATGTCATTGGTAGCACCGGAGGCGGTATTGGCGGTGGGGTGGTATCATTGGTGGTGGTAGCAGGCGGCGGCGGCATGGCATCATTGGTGGTGGAGTCGGCGGCGGCGGCGGCATCATCATTGGTGGTGGCGGCAGCGGCGGCATCATTGGTGGTGGTGGCGGTGGCGGCATCATTGGTGGTGGCGGCGGCGGCATCATTGGTGGTGGTGGCGGTGGCGGTATCATTGGTGGTGGCGGCAGCGGCGGCGGCGGCATCATTGGTGGTGGCGGTGGTGGTTACAGTCCTCCCTCATCATTGTATTCACAGCCATAGTCACGGTCTTTATTCCTCTATATTGATGTGAATAATTTTGTCAAGTGACTGCATCTATCCTCTCCAATATGTTGATCATTGTTACAAAGTAATTCAGGCTCAGTTGATTTCCTTGAATTACTGATTTTCTTTTGTTTATTAAAATTATATAAAAATAAATGGGTTATACATTTAAGTTTTCAATTCCCTCTTTTGATGATTTTATGATGTTATGTGATGTATCTTCTGCTGAATATTCTCGTCATATTTTTTTATGCAACACTAAACAATATTTACTCATTATCCATTTTGATAACGATTGAAAACTTCAAAATCACAGTTTCTTGGAGATGGAAGAAAATGCCTCAAGACGCCAAAACTCAAAGTTTTGAAATGAAACCCAATTAAGAACCATCTGTTTGGTCAAGACGATTCTAAATATGTAGAGATCGTATAAGAATATAAGAACATAAGATTGGAGGAAACTGCAGCGGGCCTAATGGCCCATATTGGGCAGTCCCGTTTACACCCAACTCCTATCGCTTGTAATTAAACCCATTCAACCTATGTTTGAAGCTATCCAGCGTATTCGAGTTAATGATGATGTTTGGTATCTTGTTCCATTCATCCACTAATATATTTCCTCACCAATGCTTACCTATCATGCGCCTAAATCTAAATTTGTCTAATTTAAAAACCATTGCTACGAGTTCGCACCTGGTTGGGTAGTTTGGGTACCTTTGTTATGTCACCTTTGTTTAGCCCTGACTTCCATTTATACACCTCGATCATATCGCCCCGCATTCTACGTCTGTCTAGGGAGTGTAAATTAAGATGCTTCGACCTGTGTCTGTACTCAAGGTTCCTAATGCCCGGGATTAGTCCTGTCATTCTGCGCTGAATTCTTTCTCGGGATTCTATATCCATTCTGTAGGACGGTGACCAGAACTGAACTGCGTAATCCAAGTGATGTTTGACAAGCTGAGGATATAGTTAAAGGATAACTTCGCTAGTTTTGTAACTAACACTATTTTCATTGAACTCAAGCAGTTTGTTAGCCTTTTTTCGAGCAAATACACATTTTTGACCTGGTTTAAGATTCCAAATTATCATTACTCCTAAATCTCTCTCACAGTCGGATTTCTCTATAACAACGTTGTTCATCTGATATCTGGTTTCTTTGTTTACATCTCCTAGACTAAGTACTTTACATTTATCCAAATTTAATTTCATCTGCCATTTTTCAGACTATTCGATTTTTTTTAGATCTTCCTGAAGTTTGGCGGAGTCCTCATAAGATTACATTAAACGACCTATTTTAGTGTCATCAGCAAATTTTTGTATGTTGCTGTCTACGCCTATATCTATTTCCTTTATGTTTATAATAAATAATAATGGTCCAAGTACTGAGCCTTGGGGTACTACACTAGTGATGTTACGCCAATCGGATTTAGTGCCTTTAATCCTTAGTCGGTGTTTCCTGTCCTGTCACCACGCCCTAATGCATTTTAGTAAATCTCCCCCAATGCTACGATCCTCCACTTTTCGTATTAGTCCTTCGTGGGGGACTCTGTCGAAGGCTTTGCTAAAGTCGAGATATACCACATCATAATTGTGCCCTTCGTCAACCGATTCGAAAACAGTTGAAAAGAATGTTAATAGACAAGAACGCCCACTTGCGAAGCCATGTTGGGAATCACTGATCAACTTGTGCTTCTCCAGGTGAATTTGAATAGAGTTTGAAATTATTGCTTCCAGCTACTTACTTATATAATTGACGTTAAACTGATTGGACGGTAGATAGAGGATAGCGATATATTTGGGAGGGGAGAATTATACATCAATATTCTTGTCACATCTAGTAACACAATAATCATACGTGGTTTGCTTTGTCATGGTAAATTTTATATTATATTATCTTGACCCTGAAACAAAAATATATGTTTTAAAATGTTCACTATATTATTATTTACCACAATAGTCGTCGGGGGTAGCTGGTAGACTCTTATAATCATCCAATCTCTGGCATAAGTTCTGTGTTGATTGTTGTCTCACGCGTACTAATGATCCCACGAGGTGAAAGGGGAAGGATCACAAGCCTTTCTCGGGTCACAGCTGAGAAAGACAAAATAGTTATAGCCAACAGTTTCTTACTAACAATGAAAAGGATCACTTTCATCGTAACTAAAATTCCCATAAAATATTAAAAGAAAATATTCAAACTTTTATGGATTAAAATATGAAGTTTGAGTGTTAGTGAATCTAGACTGTTCAGGATGCCTCTGTCAGCGTTTTATTAGATGACTGAAAAGATGAGCTAAGTTCTCCCAGATGTCCTCAATTGAAGATTATATTATCCACCTGTGTTCGCGTTTTACTACCGACAACAAATACCCAACTTTGTGTCTGTGTTACGCACTGACAACATCACGTCACCGCACTATAACAATATTTCTGTACACGGTCATCCAAAAAGAATACTCCGATTATAACATATAGCCATTTTAAACCATGGCATTCTTTTTCTATTTTCTGGTGTTGTTTATTTCAAAGACCCCTTGCGTGTTGCTTGACTGACGTCATCCCCATAAGTGAGGTGCACAACCCTCACCAGACCAAACAGTTCTTCTAATATGAATTTACTATCTCAGTGACCTATTGTGTCTAATGGTGGACAAATAGTAAAACCAATAATAGTTAAACATTTAGAAATGACTGTTTGTTTTTAATTCACAGTTTCCTAACCAGTTAACATATGTAAGTAGGAAATTAAGCTTAATATGTAAATGAATAATAACTAATTATAATGTGTAAATGAATAACATGTCATTTAATATATATATATATATATATATATATATATATATATATATATATATATATATATATATATATATATATATATATATATATATATATATATAAAGCTAACTTAAAGATTGGGGCATATAGTACAAGGCACACTTAAAGTTAATTGTAGCGAAGCAGTTGGTATTGTCATACTGTTGTATCTCCTGTGATAGCTGGTATAATCTTATGTCACCAGCAGTTTCAGGTATCACAGTCCACTGTCTGAGGGAGTCCTGAGGAATAATGGCGTATACTCAGTTTCTCTCGATTGTTTTAGGGTACCATTAGGTGTTACCAAATTATTTAGGTAGTCTCTCTGAACATAGGTCACCTTCCTGATTTACACCATGCTGCAGCTAGTGGTGTGTGCCAGTTCTCACGGGGCATTGTATTTAGCGATGTGGTGCAAAGTTGCAACTGTACGACGTGCTCAACTACACGTTGTATATGCCTGAAAAATACGGGATTATGCTGTAAATTGTGTAAATGTTACTCACCAGGTACTACCTGTAAGAATCTTTTTGTGGTAGCCTATCAGTTATGTAACGTTTAAACTATCCCATCGTTATACATGTGATCAACTCTCATGTTTGGATGGTAATGTCATTTGAATGAGAGATTACGGTATAACCTATTTCCTGAAGAGCTTTGTAATTTCATAATGGATACAATTCGGCATGAGATCAGTGGTTTACTCACAGTAGTTGCTATTTCAAATAATGAAGCTCAGAATATGCCGCTTTATCTATTAATATGTTTCATATTAACCTCAAGGTAACTTGCTATTAAACCTGCTTATAACTTTGATTTAGACAAATTTATTCCCTTTTGACTGATAATTCACTTGGATGGGTAGCGCATACACTGAGGTCGAGACGGTCATTTTGATATGCGTGTTGTCATACTTTAATTTGTCATGCCTTGTGCCAGTCCGACTGGCCCCACATAATAATAATAATAATAATAATTAACGGTTTATTGAAAAAGTTCTGCAGCCCGAAGGCTGAAAATATACATTGGACATAAATGACTTATTACATACATTGGTGGTTTAACAAAAGCCTTCATTAGAGAAAGGTAAAGGAACATACAGTGAACATACAGATTAATGTAGGATTGTACGTGTTGAACAGCAAATACGTAGTGTAGTAACTCCCTCCCAGATGGTGTTAGGAGGGACCTCACGTGGTGTAGTAATTCCCTCACAGATGGTGTTATGGGGGACCTCACGTGGTGTAATTGCCTCACAGATGGTGTTATGAGGGTCCTCACGTGGTGTAGTAATTCCCTCACAGATGGTGTTATTAGGGACCTGACGTGGTGTGGTAATTCCCTCACAGATGGTGTTATGAGGGAACCTGACGTGGTGTAGTAATTCCCTCACAGATGGTGTTATGAGGGACCTCACGTGGTGTAATTACCTCACAGATGGTGTTATGAGGGGCCTCACGTGGTGTAGTAATTCCTTCACAGATGGTGTTATGAGGGTCCTCACGTGGTGTAGTAATTCCCTCACAGATGGTGTGATGAGGGACTTGACGTGGTGTAGCAATTCCCTCACATATGGTGTTATGAGGGACATGTGGTGTAGTAATTCCCTCACAGATGGTGTTATATGAGTGAGGTTTGGTCCCAGGCCTTCCTATCGTAGACGGATTAACACATCGCTGGTTATCATGGGCCGTTATCACTGGGTACCTGGGACCTCACTGTGTGAAGGTTAACTTGGGTACAACTGTTACTGTTGAGTTGTTCTCACTGACTTAAGCACGGTTCACCACTGTTCACCTCTGTTTAACACTGGTTCCATTCCTTTCCTAAATGAAATTGTAACTTCTGGCGAGAACTTGTTGATATTCCGGTGGGGAGGAGGGTTCAGGGGAGGGGGTTGGTATGGGCCAACTTAACAGTTGACCTGGCTGCTCCGAGAGGAGCGCCAGGTACGTCTTGACCCTTCGGTGGTCAAGGATGTAGTCCTAAGGGTACTCATACAAAAGTGAATTTTTTGCGAGAATAACCATTGATCAGAAAGTCTACCCATAGGGTGTGTCATTTTAGGGGGTGAACTGGCTAAATTGAAAATCGAGTAATTTGGTAGCAATTTATTGTAGTCTTTAAGCATGCAAAACAATATTCTGGCATAAATTTTGTTTTATAATAAGTCCTACCTACATCAAATGGATTTTTAAATGTACATATTTGTGAATTTATAACATAACCAGCGTTTGCACACATGTTACTGTTTCAAGTTTCAAATTATTATATTTTATTATCCGTAGTCTATTTGAAAGTAACCAATGCCTTCATACTCTCTTTGCTTTGGTTTCTTGTCATCAGTAGTCTGCTTGCTATTTGTGCTTTGATGTAACCTTCTCGCCTCTCGTGGCTGTAAACATGGCCCGCTGCTTCTGTGACCATTTTCACACATCTCTCCACACTTTGAGTGTGGGAAGGCCACTTCGGCACCTGCATTGGAGTCTCTTTAAGGTTTCTCAATTCTTGGCTAGTTAGACTTGTTGTCAATGGTGGCTCTAAGACTTCCAAACT